CCGTTGTAGGGACAACAATACTCTTTGTCGGAATCGTCTTGGTCTCGATTTTAGATTTTAAATTAATTTAAAAAATTTAAAATTAACTTAAAATAAAAAATATTTTCCATACAAATGATTGCCACATCATAAAATGAATCCTATCATTATGCCTGTATTCACTGTCACATGAAATATACATCACATTAAGCTGCCATTTCTTCAATCGCTAAACATTAAACTTGCGTTAGATGCTTTTTAGGCATATAAAAAAATAATTTTTAAAGCTATATTTAGAAATTCTTGCTTGATTAATTAATTTTTAAATTCAATAGCTTTTTATTTTTATTGCTGTTTAAATAATAAAAAAGCCAAATTTAAAAAATCCCAAACAATTTTTTATAAAATTTCTTTGTATTTTGTTGTTTGCCTTTAAAAATGATTTTGAATCTGAATTGGCCATATCATTTTTTTATTTTATTTAATTAATTTTATTTATTTTCTAGCAAAAATAATATTAATTATTTTAGAGTAAAATTCTGAAATTACTAATAAAATTTTTTTATGAGTTAAAGCAAACGTATTATTTATAGGGGTGGCGGGATCGAGATCCAAAATACCAAACGGGAGGATATCAGGTTTTTTGAATCCTGATCCCGATTTTTCTGATCCCGAGACCGAAAGATAAATCCCGATCCCGGTTTTGGCTAATCCCGATACCGACGGGATCGGTATTATTATTCCAAAATCCCGATCCCGATTTTATGTCGAAATCCCATACCGCCCAACTCTAATCATTTAAACGTTTATATGTACATAGGGATTTGTAACTTTACCCTTTCTCTTAATAAATTGAAAGCTGAAAAAGCTTAAAACACATCTTAGTGTGCCGAACGAGTTTAAAAAGCAAAAAACGATAATCGAAAGACGATATGTCAAAAAAGGCATATGAGGAATCTCTAGAGATTATCAACTCAAAGCTTTGGCTTACCCATTTTCTAAGCTTTTAGATTTTTCAAACCTTTCTTGATATCCTTCTTAATCCAGAAATCGTCGAACCTATTGGTTTAAACTAGTGATCGGTATTCCGTACCGTATACCGGGCCGCTCTATCGATACGGAGTACCGAAAAATACGGCCGTAGTAGGGCACAGTCAAATCACTAAAACTATACTGTAATTTTTTATCAAATAATTTACCAATATTAATTTTTATCCTTCAGATTTAACTTTTAAAGTCTAAAAAATAAATTTAAAAAAATGCCGGCTTCAACCAAACTCTTGATTATACTAATTTTTATATTAGTTATTTTATTTGAATTCAGCAAACAAAGTGGGCCTCCTCAAACATGCTTTAGTGATAAAGAATGCTATCCGGGATTCTGTGATAAACGTAGAGGAGTTTGCTCTCGCGGTATGCTTTGAAAAATATTTTTTAGATAGAGGTACTCATTATTGTGTATCTTATAGAGAAATAGTCTAGTAAGGTATGGTTTCGATACCGGTGGTAAGGTTTCGATATAAGACCCACACCATTCGATTTGTCTCAATGAGCTGGTTTGATTTTTTTCAACGACTTCCAGCCTCATGAAAAGAAAGAAAAACTAAATAGGAACTTATGCTCTTTATCGATTTATGTATAACTTATTAATGGGCGATCAGTCCTAACCGATTAAGTTTGATAAAAGATACCTCTTATCGAGGGCTTTCGAATGATATAAAATTCATTTGTATAGAATCAAGCATCAAAAAGTTATAACCGATCACATTCGGTTGGCACTCAGTTTGCAATCGTCTAACGGAAAAGCTCTTTTTCTTGCTTCAATTTCTACTTATTTTATTCTATAATTAATTTACTCTCAAGGAGGATGTTTTGTGCATAAGTGTCCTGACGGAGCATGCTGTCCTGGTGATAAATGCAAAAGACAAGTTTCTGGGAATTATGTTGATTATTTTTGTTCTAAAGATTGTATCAACGAAGGACAAGCCTGTCAAGCAGATGATGGATGTTGCTATGGTATGGCAAATAATATTTTTTGGAAGGGAGACTTAGGTCCCAAATTAGTCACAAAAACAGCAGAAAAATTATGATTTACGACAGTGTTTTCTAAAAACTACGGGAGGGTGTGAAAAAATTATACCTTTAATGAGGTATCTTAAAAAAGGTTTTGAAATTTTTTTTTGGGTCACCTCTCATGTACAAAAAATCCTACGTTAATGTGAGGGTGGAATACAAATACATAATGAAGTCAAACCATAAATTAATTTATTTTTTGACTTGTACAGGTTTAGTATGTGTAGGAAACAAATGCAAAAAGTGTAGCGGTAATTCTTGTATCAAAAACGCTGATTGCTGCCCAGGATATACGTGTAAAGTTCAAACTTATGAAGGGCATGATTTTAAAGGTTGTCTTGAATAAAACGACTTTCTTTATTTAAATTAATTTTCTAAATTTTTTCCTTTTAATCAACCGATCTATTTTCTTTCCTTTTCTTCTATATAATACTTTTGTGGAAAATAAAGAATTATTCGCGGGTTTGAATCCGTAGATTAATTTGTACGGTCCATTTTAGAGGCAAAGAAATCCGCGATTAAACCCCCCAAAAGTTTCGAGTCGCACACACCAGGTGAGCGATTCAGCCGGGGTGCGCAATCTTTCGCACAAAATTTTTCTCGCGCCTCTGATTCTAAATCCAAGCAAAGGGTGGGTACTAAAAAATTTTTCTGATTATTTTTGTTCCATATTTAATTATCTATCATTTAAGCTTCTTTGATTTCATTATCTTTAATTTGAATAAAGTTAGAACATAAATATTGTGTCTTATTCCTTTCTTGTCACTCTGTAGAATGTCTTGAAACTTTATAAATTCTGACATTTTAAACTTCAATATTTTCTATAGGGGTGCTTATAATTTTCTGACAGAGTGTACTTTTTTTAATAAATTTAGAGTCTACAATTCTTAATTATATATTTCCGCACACTTCCGACTCCAATCAGAGGGTGGATACTGTTTATTTTTTTACAGAAAAGTTTTGGAGCCATATAATAATTAGAAAATAAATTTTTAAAAAATTTTAAATAAAGTTTTATATTTTTGAACTTAAAAAGTGTGTATTTTTCCAAAATAATTTTATGGTTCATAATTAAATTTTATTTTTGATTGGTTCAAAAAAACGCCTTTAATTCCTCAAACTTTCCTTCCCAAAATCATAATTTTTTTTGGATTGTTGGTGTATGGAAAATTTTGCTTGTAAAACCTCTAAAATTTTTGCTAAACTCAAACAAATGTTGTTTAGTTTTTCTAAAAATGAACCAAAAATTATTTCTCAAAAAATAAAATGTACCAAATAAAAGAATTTCTTGATATGTATTTTTGGTGCATTTTATTTTTTTTTAATAATTTTTGGTTCATTTTTATGAAAACTAAACATCATTTGTTTGAGTTTACCAAAAAATTGTAGAGGTTTTCCATACACCAACAATCCAAACAAAATTATGATTTTGGGAGGGAAAGTTTGAGGAATTAAAGGCTTTTAGGGAAAGAGTGAACCAACCAAAAATAAAATTTAATTATGAACCAAAAAATTATTTTAATGGAATATACATACAAATTTTTAAGTTCAAAAATGGAAAATAAACCCTCAAAGCTTGCCCTATACCTTAAAATAGCCATTATTTGAATATTAAATATGGGATTTGTGGAAGGGCTTATTGTTTATTTGTGGTAGATTAAGGTTTAGAAAGGGTAGAAAAGGCTGGAAAAAGGTGGAGATTGAAGGAATATAAATACAAATATGTTTAGTTAAGTAATAAATCATTTTAATTTCACACATTTTAATTCTTAATATTATAAAATTATCTTTAAATATTCATTTAATTAATTAATAATTCTCTTCAAATTCCCTTATACCCTTCCAAATCCGCCGATATCACTTTATATCCATCGTATCCTTTAATATGATTAATAAGTCTTTAATAACTATTTTTGGGAAAATAAAATGAAGTTTACTTAAAAATATTTTTCAGAGATTTTTTAAATACTCTAAAAATGTCTTCAATTAACCTTTTCCTTGTTTCAATTTTTATTTTATTTCAATTAGTAATTTACTCTCAAGCATGTGCTAAACATGGGGATAGATGTAATTATAGCGACTGCTGTGATAACTTATCTTGCAAAAAAAACAGCAAAGCTAATGGTAACTATTATTGTTCTATTTCTCCTTGTGTCAAGATTGGAAAAAAATGCCAAACAGATGATGGATGTTGTAAAGGTATGGCAAAGACTTTTTTTCTGTTTGAAAGGGAAAACTTAGTGCAGTTATAATTTGGTCCTTAAAATAACGGAAAAACACTCGGGTGTACTGATTTTAATGTTGGCTACGGGGAGGGGGTGAAAAATAAGTGTTTTATAATGAACCTACTTTATATTAGAGTTGCGCGAGTTCTCGCCGAGGCCGAGGTCCTCGTCAATTTTGCAATCTCGGTCAAGGTTCGACAGGTCCTCGGTCTCGATTCTCGCCTAGAACCTCGGCGAGGAACGAGGCTAAACACTACCAAGGAGTGGACTTTTTTGGATGAAATGAAAGAATTTTTGCTTATTGTCCTTCCCAAATTCTCAAAAAGGTTAAATCTGGCTTCTTGGTCTACCAAAATTCTCAAAATTTTTGCTTGCGGCGCTGAAAATGGATAGAACCTGGTTGTTTGATTCCCAAAATTCTAAAGATTTTCGCCTGCTTATCCCACGTTGTAACAAACAAACAATGTCCCTCAAGCCAAATGATCATGATCCAATGATCTATATTTTGATCTATGATCTATATTTCGGCCAATGATCTATATTTTCGGTCGGATTGTATTTAGGTAAGAATGTGTTGTGTCGGACTATTTAGCCTGACACTTCTAGTGCACGAAAATCAGAGCTAATGTGAGGGTGGCGTATAAATGCGGTGGCACTATACATAAGGTCATAATTTTTTCGACTTCTACAGATTTAACATGTGTTGAACAAGTATGCGTAACATGTGATGGTCAAGCTTGTTCTCCATTCGCTCAATGCTGTCCTGGATTTTATTGCAAGGATGAATCTGGGCTTACATACTGTCAAAAGAATCCACCAACTTTTAATTAAAAATAATTTTAAACCCTTCAATTTTCTTCTTTTTATTCAAACGGGGAATTTTCTTTCCTTTCTTTACTATAAAATTCTTTATTTCGGTAAAATTCATGTTCGTCTTCCCCTTTTTCCTTCATTTGTACATAATGGTCAGACTTTCTTTCTTCCTCAATTCCACTTAATTTTTCTGTGGCATATTCAAATGAGAGACATTGATACAAAACAGTTTAATTTTAAATATAAATGGCCGCTTTTGACTGGAATTAATTAAAAATATTGCTTCAAATGCCAATTCATACTTGGTGATATAGTAAAAACTTTATCTTTACATTATGCCTTTTTTGAATATGCCACAGGAAAATAGAGTGGAATTGAGGAAGGAAAAAAGTCTGTCTAACTGCACCCAACCTATTAATTAAAAATACAATCCTGGATTGAAGTCAGAAATTAAATTGAGGTCTGAATTGTCAGAATTAATGATATTTTTTTAAATTTATTTATTCGGGTTTAAATTTATGGAAATTATTTAAATTAAATATTACTTATTCTTTACTTTGTTGAATAAAATTTCTTTTAAAATTTTAAAGTTGATTTTTTCATTATTTATAGTTTAAGGTACATTATAAAAATTAATTCCTCAAACTTTCCATCCTAAAATCATAATTTTGTTTGGATTGTTGGTGTATGGAAAATTTTGCTTGTAAAACCTCTAAAATATTTGCTAAACTCAAACAAATGTTGTTTATTATTTTATAAAAATGAACCAAAAAGTATTTCTAAAAAAAATAAAATGTACCAAATAAAAGATTTTTTTATGTTTTTTTGGTACATTTGATTATTTAGAAATAATTTTTGGTTCATTTTTATTAAAACTAAACAACATTTTTTGAACCAAAAAATTGTAGAGGTTTTCCATACACTAACAATCCAAACAAAATTACTATTATTATTTTAGGATGGAAAGTTTGAGGAATTAAAGGCTTTTAGGGAAAGAGTGAACCAACCAAAAATAAAATTTAATTATGAACCAAAAAATTATTTTAGTGGAATATACATACACAATTTTTAAGTTCAAAAATGGAAAATAAACCCTCAAAACTTGCCCTATACCTTAAAAATTCCCAATTGTTTGAAGGAATATAAATACAGTTATGTTTAGTTAAGTAATAAATCATTTTAATTTCTCGCATTTTAATTCTTAATATTATAAAAATATTTTTAAAAATATTTATTTACCGTATATCCTTTAATAACTACCCTGTGTAATTATTATTTCGACCTTCCGTTGGAGGGAGTAATAAATCGAGGGAGGGTAAGAGGTTTGAATTTTCAACGTGTTTTAGTTGGGGGTAATTATTGTTTCAATTTATCGCTGGCTGGGGTGATTAATGGAAGTGGAGTAATTATTTGAGGGAGGGGGGCAATTAATACAGGGTATACGGTAATTAAGAAAAAAATTCCCTTCAAATCACCTTATACACTTCCAAATCACCCGATATCAATTTATTTCCATCGTATCTTTTAATATGATTAATAGGCTTAAAAAAATATATTTATTTCCCATTTTTTGGATCCCGATTTCTCTAGCATTATTCGAGATTTTTAAAATATTACCTAAAAAATTATTTTTCAGATTTTTAAATTTAAAAATTCTAAAAATGTCTTCAATTAGTCTTTTCCTTGTTTCCATATTTATTTTATTTCAATTAATATACACTAAAGCTCCCTGTATCAAGGAGGGAAGCAAATGTCAAAAAAATGATGACTGTTGTTATGGTATGTCAAAGAATATTTTTCTTTCAAAGGGAAAATCTGCGCTCCGGCCCCAAATTAGTCATAAAATAAAGATAAATCGAGAATTACGACGTTGACTCTTATGAAACACGCAGGGGTAAAAAATAAAAAAATACGAGTTAGCTGCAGAAGGTGGTAAAAAAGTGCCATAAAATATTGAAATAAATTGGCAAAATATTGACAAAAAATGCCCAAAATTGGTGAAATATTGAAATAAATTATTGTTTATTCACTAGTAAACATAAAATAAAGTTAAATTTTAACAAAAAATTTTTCAAAATTCTATGTTAAATTTACAAATTGAGTATTTTTACTCTGTTGGACATTTTTAGATAGGCCAAATTGGGGATTTTGTTCATTTTGTGGGGTTTAGTTCAGCTGTACAATCTTGGGATTTTTGTTCTGAGAGAAATTTTGTGTGGTTTTGTTCGGTAGGGGCATATTGAGGAGTGCGCGCAGCTTCAATATAGAGTGCGTGCCGCTTCAAATCACCCTTAAAATAAGCGAGAATTCTCCCTTCTCAGCTGTAAATTATTCTATTTTCGACTTTTCAGGATCAAAATGTGTTATTAACAAATGCGAAACATGTGAAGGTTCATTTTGTAGCAAAGACGCTGATTGTTGTGGAAAATTTGTTTGTAAGAATGATTATGGTTTTAAACATTGTACCCCAAAGAATTAAATCTTTTTTTATTTAAATTAATTTTTAAAATTCTTTCCTTTTATTCAAATCGTCAATCTTCTTTCCTTTCTTACTATAAAATTACCTAATTGTACATACTTTTGTTGGGAATACATAAATATATACGTATAAACGGAGCAGTTCAACTGAGTCCCGGCTCAATTGAGTCCCGGCCCTATAACTCAAGTACGGGTTGATAATTTTTAATGTTATGGTACCATTGGATAGAGCATTAGATGGACTACAATATACCAAAAAATCAGAATTTTTGACCGATTGATAAAAAAGTTATGATTTAAAAACTAACTTTTTCAGAAAAATCTGATTTTTCGGCACTTTATCGATCATAACTTTTTCCAGTCGGTCAGGAATTTTGATTTTTTGGTATATTGTAGCCTATTTAATGCCCTATCTAATGGTACCAAGAGTAACAAAAAGTGACCGTCCCTTCATAAGTTATAGGGTCCGGGACTCAATTGAGTCGGGACTCAATTGAGGTGTACCGACGTATAAATATATTTCGATGAATTCTCACCTTACATTGTAGTTCTTGATTCACCTATTGAAAAAACACAATTCTGCTTTATTTTCACAAATTCTGTTATGTGCAGCAACAATTTAAGACAAGTTATTTAAGATTTCTTAGCAAAAAATAATTTTTATGTATTTCTGCTTCAAAATGAAAAATCTTATAGTATAGGAGTTTAGCTAAATAATTTTAATTAAATCAGTAAAATGCGATAAATTAATTTTTAAATTAATAAAATCAACGAAAAAGGTGTCATTATTTTATAGTTTAAGTTAGATTATAAAAAAATTGTAAAATTATTTCAAACAAAACATAACTACTAACTAAGCCACATAGCTCTCTACATATAATTTAATTATTTTAGCCATTTTCTGGTCATTCAAATTAGAGAAGATCTTGATCTTCTTGTGATTTCACATATTTTTTAATAATGAAAGCAGTAAGTGGCCTGTGTGTCTATATCTTCTGAGTACCAGTGATCGGGCTGAGAGAGTCGTACAAAATCTAGATCTCGAAATGTATCAATCACGATATCTAAGTGAAATTATTAGTCTAACTAATTTTTAGTCCTCGGTGCAGAAGAAATTGAATTTAGGTACGAAGGGTAGTTTACCGTAAATCTTCTAATAGAATCACATGTGCTTCTATTTTTTAATCACCTCTCAGTGTGCTTATATCAGGGAGTGTGCTTCTACTAGTGAGTGTGCTTATATTTTTTGATCATCTCATAGTGTGGTTATATTGGAGAGTGCTTCTTTCGGAGAGTAGGGTTCTATTAGAATATTTACGGTGATTTGCGGGTATTAAATCTGATGTACAGGGTGGGGCAAAAGTTTGGTATATTAAATATTTAATTTAGTGAATTAACGTCAATACGGCTAAAAATCGAATAATTAAAAAATTCTTTTTAAATTTTTATTTAAAATATGCAGATGAACAAACAAGAATTAAATTAAAAAAAAATCTTTTTGGAAGGAATTAAAATTTAAAATATTGACTTAAAAATTTATTTTAAGCGTTTTTAGTATTTTAATTTGCTTTTTATTTAAAATTAATTATTTCCAATCTAATAAATTTTTCCAAAATTCTTTGTAGAATACCCCCTTAGAGCTGAAGTAGAATACCCCCTTATTGTTAGAGCTGAACAGTCGACCCAAACTTTAACATACATCTCGATATTAGATACGTTTTGGTAAAATTTGGTTGGCCATTGGGCGAGATAACTGTCTAACCCACAATTGAAAATACACTTGATTATTGGATAATAAAATAGAATTGGAATATCAGCCCTATACTTAATTTAAGAGTTCCCATCCAATTATCAGAAATAAAATGTAAAATGATCCATTACTTTGTGCACCACTTCATTGTTATAAGAAGTCATCCTCCTTTTGATCAAAAGGAGAGTAGTAAATGAGCTGTGTATCTACTCAGAATTCCTGATTCTGATGAGAGATTTATTAATTTGATGACCTTATAGTTAGTGCTTGAACCACGCGAAATCTACCGAGTGGATATTTAAAATCGAGTTCTGACTATATTTGTCTTTTCATTGCCCAATTAAAATTTGATTAAATTGGAAAAAATACACTAGTTTTAGAAAATCTTCAAATTTTTCAGAGTATTTTTCAATAAAAAATGAATTATTCAACTACATTAATTATATTTATTTTTTCAATAATATTACTTATTCAATACCTAAATAGCCAAAAATGTATCAAAGAAGGGAAAGATTGTTGTGATAAAATAAAATGTACCAAGGGTTGTTGTGGCAATTTAACATGCCAAAGTTTGCCAAAATATGAAAGTGGAAATATTTATGTTGGTCTCCGAAATATCTGTGGGAAAGGTAAATTTTAAGAAGAAATTATTGTACTGTTGAACTTCTCTATTTCATTCTCCTTCAGAAATTCGAGGAGGATAATTAGAGATATTTCCCTGGATTAATAAAAAATAAGCTCATATGCCATATATGTTCTAGCCCATCTCCGTTAATTAACCCCACCAACGAAAGATTGGGCAATAATTATCCAAGGTAATCATTTGAGCAATTACGGTATTTATATGCCCAAAAAAGTTTAAGATATGCACTGAAATAAAAATTCTGTCTAAATATGCAATAAATGTCAGATACTCCTTATAGACCGTAAATATATTTTTCATCCTCGTATATGCTTATATTAGAGGTGGGCTTATATTAGAATGTTTACGGTATCTCAGATGCTCTATTATCTTTATATTTCAAACAATATGCTTATATTTAATTATTCAGATAAATGTATTCCAGAAAACGGAACATGCAGTCAGGATAAAATTAATTGTTGTGAAGGAACTGCCTGTATAGTTCCCTATTTTACTTGTATGAAATGCTTGTATAATGGTGATTATTGTGATGGAGATAATAGCGTTAAAAGTTGCTGTTCTGGAGATTGTAAACCAAAGGGAAACACAACACGTTCGACTTGTCAAAAATGAAAGAAGATTATTTTGATTATTAAAAATTGGGTTTTCGGGTTATAATGACAGGGCTTTTTAAACAAAATATGCTTTTTAATATACAAAGTTGGGTCGGAACAGTTAGAGGTGTTGGAATTTTTTTTAAACTTTCGGAAATCGAAAGAGTTGGAAATCGGAACTGGCTCATAAGTATGAATTCGGAACTCGGAACTCAAAATTTTTTTTCGGAAATCGGAAGGAAAAAACGTCGGAAGTCGAATTACGACCCACCTTTGCTAATACTATTCAAAACGTGTCCCTCCAATATCACGGAACTCTTTCATAAAAACGTCAGCTAATTTCACTCTTGAGGGTGCTGTCTTATCGAGATTGAACTGTTTTCAGGCTTCCTTCTTTTTTTTACTAAATATTATTTTATATTTTCCTCAAATTTCTTTTAATACTTTTATTTAAACAACTTTTAAAAATTAAATAAATTATCTGTCAACTATTAAATGAAATATATTTTATATTCTGATAATAATTATTATTTTGGGCTCTTGTCGAGTTTAGACGTACAATCGCACCTTTATAGGTCCAGACAACTTCTAGACGTTCAATGAAAAGTTTGGACGTCCAAACAAATCTTTATGCGATTTGGATTTATTTTTGTAACTTTTATTTCTTTTTGAGAAAAACATTCCAGGTTGTTCAGAAAACGAGGGAAGTTGGCTCGTCAGCGGGGACAATATATAAATCAAAATTTAAATTTTCACTGTGGTGCGTAAACAACCCTCACATATTGGACGCATAAAAATTTATCTTGACGTATAAAGGTGCGATTAGACGCCTAAACTGGAAAGAGATTCATTTTGTTAAAGCAGGGAAGGAAAAGTTTAATACTAGAAAAAAGTCTAAAAAATTGTTTTATTGAAGCCAATCCTCCCAAAATTTGTTCAGAACAAAAAATTCTCGAAAATTTTTTTAAATGCCTCTAAAATGTAGCTAAATTTATAAATATACACAGTAAATATCAACATATTTTATTCATTATTTATTTTCCAACAAAAGCATTTTAGCAATTTTAAAGTAAAGAAAGGAAAGAAAATTGACCCCCCAATTTTAAAGGAAAAATTTTTTCAAAATTTAATTTAATTTTAAAGAAAAGTTTTTTTCATTTCTGCGGGTGAATACACTGATTTAAGTTGTCACAAATCAAAGGCGGGCAGCATCGAGAGTCATTATCATTGCAATAACCACGTACATCATTACGACATTTTGCACATTTATATTCTTTACATTCATTTGTAGTACACGAACATGCTGAACCTTAATTAATTTACGGTCTGACTTCATTATAGTGGACACATGTGGAGTGTATAAAAATATAGTCTATAAGAATATTTTTTGACAAAAATCCCGTCGACCAAATGCCATCAAATTATATATTTAGCAACCTATAGCTAATTGTTTTTAATTCAAAAAAAATTAAATATTCTATTAAAGTAACTTGGCCTTCCAAAATGCATAAAATTTTCCCCTATGGCATTTTTGCCCTCTTAAAAATTTAATTCTATTAATTTTTGTGATTAAAATTGTTGGAATCTGAAAAAATCGTACCCTAAAATTCTGGTGATTTAGACATGAGAAAATCAGAAGAATTTTAGCCGAAATCAGGGGGTAAAGCTCAAATTTCAAAGCACTGATCTCGAAGAATTTGTATAAAGTAAACTAAAAGAGGTACTTATTTGGTAGCCTACTGAGTGGGTGTGGGCGTTATAACCCGATAAGTATAGGTATTTGGTACCCTAAAGGGGTACTCGTTATTTTAGGAGTCACTGTCACAATTTCAAAGACTAATTCAGAGCATGGCAAAGTTTTCCCTTTTCAAACAGAAAAATGCCAGACCTTTACAGCATCCATCACCTTTTGATATTGAACATTTTTGATTGTCACCGATACAAGCAGCATAAGAACAAGCATAAAATCTACCATTATGTTTACAAAACATTTTTCCACAGCATTTATCATAATCACAGTCTTCCAAATGTCCAGCACAATTTTGGGAGTAAATTAATTGAAATAAAATAAAAATTGAAACAAGGAAAAGGGTAATTGAAGACATTTTGAGAGAATTTAAAAAATCTCTATAAAAAATAATTTTTAGATAAACTTCTTTCTATTCTCCTAAAAATAGTTATAATTAGGGTTGGGCCCCGAACACTCGGGGGCGGGTATGTCGGGGTACGGGGTTTTCGAATTGTTTCGGGGCGGGGTTCGGGTCGGGGAAAATCTGAAAAAATCAGTCGGGAACGGGGGTCGGGGTGCAACTCTAGTTACATATAATCGCTCGTTGGTATGCTACCGTATTTTCTTGATTAATTCCCCTCCCTTGAATAATTCCCCTCCCTCGATTAATTCCTCATGCCATGGAAGTGTTGAAAAAATAATTCCTCAGGGGAATTAATCGAGAAAATACAGTTACCATTTATTAGTCAAAATTTCGACAAAAATCAGAATCGGGATTTTGGAATGGTGATACCGATCCTCCCGGATCCCGGCCATACATGCACGAAACGTTTCGTTTTGTTTCTTTGCTTCGTATATTTCAAATGATTTTTTCTGTATACCGTATTATCTTTAATAGAAGCCCTGGGCGTCTATTTTTCAATACTCACCCATTGAGTGGGCTTCTAATAGGACATGGGCTTCTATTAGAGACGGGCTTCTGCTAGAGACAATCGGCAGCTAAATTTATGTAGCTTTTCGCTTCCCTTCATGCCTCCCCTCCTTCGTTACCTCATTTCAGTCATTACTGGGCAATTTATAAAATCGGGATTTACTTCGGGATCCGAACCTAATAGATTTAATTAAAAAAGAATTTTTATTAATTTAAAAGAATTTTTTATTAATTAAATGAATACTTGTAAAAATATTTTTATAATAAAAATATTCTAATAATTTTAAAGGATAATTTAAATTTTAAAAAATTAAAATGATTTATTACCCAACTCAACACATAACAATATTTATATTGTCTAATCTGCCCTTTTTAATTTAAGAATTCCAAAATATAAACATCAGAAGCAAAATTTTATTTATCTATAATATTTAAACAACTGGGTATTTTAATCGAGATGTTGAGGGTTTGGAAGAGAAAAAAATAAAAAAATTTTTTTATTTTCTATTTTTGTATTTTTTAAAGGCAATTTTAGCTAAAATTTAAATTTTATCTTTGGCTAAAAATTAATTTTATTTACGTTTAAATTAAAAATAAAATTTAATTTTAAAAACCCATGACTTGCCATATTAATGAAAATTAAAATTTTATTTTTTTAAAGAATTTATTTACTATTGTGAAATCTAAGGGTTTTCTAAAAAAGCTTCTAAAAATGTATTTTTTGGAGGAGCAAGCCTGCTTAATGCGAGCCCAGACTACCAGAGCTATAACTTCGTTCAGAATTCTCGAACTCGGGACGCCCTGTAAAGTTCGATGCGCCTCGAAAAGCTGAATTGAACTATACCAGAGCGTCCGGATTCGACAACTCTGAACGAAGTTATAGCTCTGCGGTAGGTTGGGCTTGCGATAAGTTTTTACCGCGAGTAGATTTTCATTTCCCGTAGATTTTCGAGATTTGCGATCTCGATGAAAAAGTCATTTATGGACTTTACTCTTTTTGATTTTATACTCAATATCAATTGAAATACTCATAGAAATTATTGCAAAAATTTTCAATAGCTTCTAATATGTAAAACAAAATTTTTTTCAAGTGGTGTTATAATTTCTTAACACTTATTTTGAGAAATTACTCGTTAAAAATTGATTGAGTAATAATTTTCCTGATTTTTCAGTACCGTATATACTCTATTAATTACCCTGGGTAATTATTTTTTCGACCTCTCGCTGGAGGGGGTAATTAATCGAGAGGGTGAGCTATCTCAATAAATAGAGGAGAAAATCTATTTATTTTTTGATATTTAGTCTTATAATGTTTCAATAATTAAAATTGACAATGATTTTTTCAATATTTTTAAAATTAGTAGAGAAGGAAAAGGAGGGGGTAATCAGGGGGTAATTATTAAAGAGGGTAATTATTCAAGCATTTACGGTATGTTTAATATTGTTTATAAATCTTATATAAAAATTTTCAGATTAATGGGATAAAAGAACCTAGAAAACCAGAAAAACCAGGTTGTTGTTTTATATTTTTTTAACACGCTGTTAATAATTTATCCATATAATTTTCCGAAAAAACATTTTTATTGTAAGAAAAAAATATTAATCGAAAGGGTGTGAGGTGTGAGCCAAATAAGGCTCTACTCCAGTTTATGCGTCCAATCGACTTTTATGCGTCCAATGAAAGTTTATGCGTCCAATAAAAAGAAAATTGGATTTTTCATGGTATTGCACAGTTGAGGTATGGGTCCAAAGCATTTCTTCATGTTCGGGACCTACGTCCACTGGGTCTGGGACCATTCCTTACCCGACCCCTCGAAATTTCTGAAAGTTATAATCGTTTTTCTTAAATTTTAAAAAATTGGCTGTAACTTTAAAAAATTTCTAGGTATAGAGTAAGGAATGGTCCCAGACCCAGTGGACGTAGGTCCCGAACATGAAGAAATGTTGTGGACCCATACCCCAACTGTGCAATACCATGAAAAATCCAATTTTCTTTTTACGCATAAACTTTCATTGGACGCATAAAAGTCGATTGGACGCATAAACTGGAGTAGAGCCAAAAGTAAAGAAAATTGACCGTTTGAATTAAAGAAAAAAATTTTAAAAATTTATTTGAATAAAGAAAGGATTATTTTTATTCAGATTGCCCTTAAATTTACACACAATAGCCCTTAAATTTGCCAGTATCACAAACTGATCCTGGGCAGCAAGTGCCTTCTTGACAAGATCGACCTTCATTGACACAGCACGTATTCGTTTGGCTATTACAACTTAAACCTGCAAGAGACGAAAAATTAATTAATTTTCTGCGTTCACTAAAGTATTTGAACCCTCGCATTAACTGGGATTTTTTAGAGAGCTCCACAAAAAATTGCCGGACCTCTTATTTTACGTAT